TCGTCCGTGGGATTCGAACTCTAGACCTGCCGTCTGGGGTGCGACAACTCCACCACTTCACTAAGTCGCCACACCCTCGTTTACCAAACTCTATACATTTTACTACTTTTAAAAAATATATATATATTCCTTAAAGAAGAGAATGAGAGCAATTTTCTATACTATTTCTACTTGTTTTTTTTACAAAATATTTATAAAAAGTGGGCAAAACAGCTTACTCTCATCAAAAGATTAGCATTGTTTACTCTTTCTAAATTTAGACAATATTGTAGATTTACATATTTTAGATTGTTTATAGTCATGTTTATAGTGCTACTGATAGAAGATTAGTATATAAATTTTAATCATTCTGATATTGGTTATACATCAAAAAAAAATTTATATTAAGGTTGTGCCTTATAGTAGAGATATCTAATATTGTATTAGTTATAATTTTTTAGTTTAGTACACAGGCTTAATAGTATACATTCTTTGTATTTGTTTCTGTTTTACTTTTTTTATTGATTTTTTGCTTTTTTTATCTTCTTCTATTTATAATTAAATCTAATTTAGAAATTTAGTTTATTTTCTTCTTTTTCTTTTGTTTTCTTTTTTTTTGTTTTAGTTTATTTATTTTTTTTCTTTTTCTAAATTCATAGTTTTTTTTTATAAACTTGGCATTTATTTTCTTCCTTTATAAAAATATAAGAGATAAACTATTCTGCTCAGATTTAGGTAGAAAAAGTTTTAAAGGCTATAGACAGCTGAGTACTATGCTATAGCAGTTTTTTAAATATGTGTATCAGCACATATAGATTCTGTTGGCAAACATTAGTATGATAACTATACTTGAATACTTTTAGAGTAGCTGGATATTAGCTAATTATAAACATTAGATAGTTTAGTTTTTGTAAACTTACATATATCTAATAATTCTATAATAGGTTATCAAAGTAAAGAAAAAATAAAAAAAAATATCAAAAAAAAAATTTAATCATATTAAATATTAAATCACTTTCTAGTTATAAACTATATATATATAAAATATCAAGACAGATATATTATTTTCTTGAGATAGCTTAACCAAATTTAGATGATATTCTGATCTTTAGCCAACTTTATTTCTTTAAAACTGCAAATATACAAGTGTGCTGAAGTAATAATTCTGTTAATACAAGCCTTAATTATATATTACTATCACTGTTAGATTTAATACTTCTGCAAGTGAGTTCTTTTGCACAAGCATTTTAGATAATAAGTAAAATACAACAAGAAGAACATAATATAGCAACAAAGCAAAGTTATCAACTATTAGAGGTATAAATAATTTTTTATAATCATTGCTTTGACTAATATTATTATAATATACTATATATTAATAAAGTTGCTATAATCTTTATAAGTCCTAAAAGATATAAGTTTCCATCTTATTGTCTTGCTATATACTTATGCAGTAATTAACTTAAACTATTCTAGTAATTAATAGTAACTGTAATCTAATATTATATTAGTTACTACTAGTGTGATGGGTGGTGCGTGCATGCCACCCATCTTAATTATAGTAAAAAGATATCTAAGTATTTTTGTTTGTTTGTGTGATGTCTTTATGAATGTTTTTATGGGTTATTACTATAAGTCTTTTATTATGTTTTATATATAGCTTAATTCGAGTTAAGTTTTTTGTAGTTTTTTTTTAGGTAAATTTGTTGAAGTTTTGATGGTAGATTTTTTATTTATATTTATTTAAAGTTTTTTAAGTTATATTTTTGTGAATAGTATTTGTGAATTTGTTAGATCGGTCTCCCCAAGTATTGGTTACATAATGAATACTTATATGTTTCTAAACTTCAAGAATCATAAATTGCTCATATATTCCAATAATCGTATATTATCATTTATTGATTGGTGAAGATTCATTATGTGACAATACTTTGTGGGGCCACTCTGGCCAATTCAGTATTTGTCAATGCTTATTTTGGAATTATACGTTTTAGCATTTTCGCAGGAGTTTATGTTAATTATAGGTTGTTTTCAAGTGGGTTTGTATTTGTAATATGTGATTTGTATTGTGTATCATCGTTATTAGCTAATTATTGTATTATTAATTATTCGTTCTATTTGTTGGTGGGAAAATTCAATGTTATTAGTCTAGTTAAAGTTTGTATAACTGTTTTATAATGTAATGAGATTTGGCAGTTATTTATATATATGTATTTTAAAAATAAATCTATTAGTAAGAGTTTTTATTTTTTGTTTAACAAAGCGATTTATTCGCCTTTGATTTATTTTTTTATATTAATTTGGTAACTAAACTATTTAATTTTTAATGAGGACATAATCGTTTTTTTATAAATTGTTGTAATTTGGTAATTCTCGGTAAAATAGAATTTGTGATTGAATTGAATTTCGATTACGTTATTATGATCTATTTTTTTTGTTTGCTTTATGGTATTTTTCTGTTTTATATATATACTTATTCGTCGGTTATGTTTTGCATTAAGTTTTTATATTTTTTATATGAAATTTTATGATGCCATGTTATGCAGATACTATCGTTAGAATTAAATATGTGAAGCAAAATGTAAATGAAGATATTAATTTGTTGATAGTATGGGCTCTTGGTACATATTCTGTTGATAGTGAGGATTACGATATTGAGATGTCTTTATTTGTGCTGATTAATCAGGCAGATAGAAATTTAGATTCTCAGGCCGTGTTTATTAAAGATAATTTTTTTTTGGTTGGGGTAAGATTGTACCAAGGTTCTATAAAGAGAATAAAAGAGCAAAGGTAATCATTTATGTTTTATGATTGTATGTGTGCTAATTTTTTTTTAAAAATTTTTTTTTGGCTTTTAGATAACAGTTTCTACGTCAACTCATTTAACAATTCATAATAGGGTTGATGCTTCGAATAAGTGTTTATTGAAAATTTCTTTAATTGGTATTTCTCAGGAAATGTCGAATGAAATTAATAGTGATGTCATTATTCAAACTTTGGTGACAGATTATGCCAGGCAAGAGTATAATTTTAGTTTGAAAGTTGTTTTTCCATATAATCATTCTCGTTTTAGTTTTTTAAAGAATAATATTAGACACAGAGAGTCTTTTATTTTTGTCGTTGGGCAAATAAAGATAATCAGTAATGAGTTCTATGTGTATGTTAAGGATATTAATTATATTGATACTCAGTTTCTTAACAAAAAAAGTATTTTTGGTTGTGGTGGTTCTCAAACCTCATCGTCTAAGAAAAATATTCATTCTAAGCTTTTGGCTACTCATCAAAATTTCTTAGAAATTTCGAATATGAAGTTTGAAGATAAGACAGTTGCTTCATCTTCTAAGAGTGATCACACGAATAAGTCAGAATTAAGTTCTTCAGATAATCTTTATTCATCAAAATGTGCTCGAGTCAAAGATTTTGATGATTCTGTTCATGGGGGTTCCATGGTTTGTGAAGATTTTACTGAAAGTGCAGATGGAAATTTTGAAAATAATATTTCGATAGGTTTAGGTAGAGGTTTTGAGTCAAATTTGGTTAATAGTTCATGTTTACTGAAGCAAGTTCATAGTGATGCATCTGAAGGGTCAGTGGTGCTTCTTATGCAGAAGAGGTTAATAATCATGCAGATTTTCATCAGAAAGATGACACAGAAGGATCTGTAAATAATAGTTCTTATCAAAAGAAAAGTAAACATCAGAAGAGTAAAGAAAGTGTAGGACGTACTTTATATTGTAATTTAAGATCTCGCACTTCGGATGCAAGTTTTTTTAAAGTTTGAGAAAGTTTTGTATACGCGTTGTTTTTTTTTTGTTTTTAGTATGATGTTTATTTTTGTTACAAATTTAAGAAGTTTTTTTTTTATTATATTATATAAACAGTAATAGTTTTATATAATTGGTTTTGATATTTTTTTTTTTTGCTTTTCTAAATTTTTAATAGTTTTTTTATGCCTTTTTTCATTTATTGTATTTGTGTATTTTCTTGGTTTTGAATAAAAATCAAATTTAAGAATACTTTTGGATTAAATTTTTAATTGCGGTTTTTGCAGTTTTGTTAGAACCAGAGTTTATTTAATAGTTCAATTTTTATTAATGATATATTTATTTTTGATTTAACAAATACTATGTTGGGTATGATATTAATTGTTATTTTAACAGTATTGTTTTTTATCTGTGTTTAATACGTTGTTATCAAAGTACTTTTAAACAGTACTAATATAAGTTGTTAGTCATTATTTAATCTTGTAAGATTTCTTTGTACATGATATTTCGTGTATAAATACCCTGTTTGCCAGTAATTTTGCCATCTTTTATTAAGACTTTAATGTTATTATATGATCGAGTTCGCAAAAAGGCAACATATAGTTGGCTATGAGCAAATACATGCTCTGGTAGATAGAGTCCTATGTGTAGTATGGTCTGTCCTTGAGATTTGTTAATTGTTAGAGCGAAAGATAATTTTACTGAAAATTGTTTCCTTTTAAGTATGAAAAGAAGTTTAATGTCTAAAGTTACAAATGTTATCCGAGAGAGAAATACTCATTTTTCTCATTGATTGCCTGTAGTTATTTTTGCCTCTATAATATTATGATTAAATGTTCGACATATCAATCTGGTACTATTGCATAAGCCATTAATAAGATCCAAGTTACAAAGACACATAATGGGTGTATTGGTTTTGAGTTGTAATTCATGAGGAGGTATATCTAATGTAGTAATTGAGTTGAGAAATTCTTGCTGATAAAGATTACGGATGTCATTGGGAACTGAATCAAAACTTCGATAAGTTATGATTTCACCTAGTAGTTGATTTAACATTTTACTGTTAATATCGTCAACATACTTATTTTTAGTAGTGAGTATGGCTTTGTCGGTGAAGTAAGAAGCATTTAAAGAGCGAACAGATAATGATGGGTATATTTCCTTTATAAGAGTTTGTAATGAATTTTTATCATCCCAATTGATTATCATGTTATTTGGTATATAAATCATGTTATTATTAATAGTTTCTTCTGTTCCATTTTCAATTCTCATCAAAAAATTATTAAAATTGTTTGCTTCAGGATTATTCTCAGTGCGCATATTACGATAAAGATGGAATATTTTTACTTTAGACCATAGGGATAAAGATTTGAAAGTTGCATTTACAATTTGTGCATGGCTGCCTCGCGGGATTACGGGTAGAATTTGGCGAAAGTCTCCACCTAATACGAATATTTTTCCTCTAAATGGGTCATGGTTTTTTATGATATCTTGTAAAGTCTTATTAAGTGCTTCTATAGAGTAGCGGTTCATTATTGAAATTTCATCTAATATTATTATTTTTTTTTTAAGCAATCCTGCCTTTATTTATATGAACTGCTATAAAATTTATATACAATGTACTAAATTTTTACAACTTATTGCTCTAACTCAATAAAGACTCACC